GATGCATCTTTTGTGGGCTCAGGCACACATGTTGATGTAATCAGCACAAGTGTTTTAAATTCAGAAAGATCCACCTAAGTCCACTCACCTCGAGCCTGGCAGGTCCTGTGACTCCGAGATACATCACAAGACTCACCAGAGTCCAATCACTTCTCTAGATTTCTATTGTACTACTATGTTTAACCTGTATATCCCATGCGTCTCTAGTCTGACTCAGCTCAGGACCTTGGCGAGTCCCAAGCCAAGTCTGAGTTTCAAAGCACTTGGCAGCACCTCTCGTTCTGAGAATGTTCTTGCATTCAATACAGAATACAATAGTCAAAAGTCAAAGAGAAACATTTCTTAGTCACCCATTCCCATGGAAAAATATCAACATGAAAATGACAGTAGCTCAAGAACTTACGTCATAGGAAAAATGAAAATCAGATCTTGACCACATACTGACTTCTGCTTCATATAAGAAGCTTGATTTCCCCGGTTCCTTGTGTCTTTCCTGGAATTTTGGAATATATAGCTTCTTTAGAGAAATGAAGTACATCAAAATAAAAGATTATTTGCAAATATTCAAGACTGATAAGGTCACATATATTATGAAATAATTTTGGAATCATACATAATTGAACTGCAGAGTGACTATAGCCATAAACAATGGACCAACTTATCGACATACCTGCAATCCGTGGCTGCCATTCCTCCATCTGACTTCTTCCTTATTGCCAGAGTCAACACTCACACATATCCTTTCTCTTAGAGAGGAATGTTTCATAGATGGAATGACAAATTCTGGAAAGGAGAAAGGCATGCTGAGGGAGTAGTGGCCATCAGTATATGTTAAATGCTGAAACCAACTGACCTTGAGTGAAAGTACTGATCCTCCTTCAACCTGGACAAGAAGAACAGCAGAATGAACAACAGATTCTCTAAATAAAAAATGATTGAGGTAACAATTTCAGTTCGACAAAAATGATTTCAAAGACCACACAGTGGGCTCTGGAAACATATCCACTTTCCAAATACAGAGGAATGCCAACTCATAAGTTGGTTACATATAGATATGGTTATATGCAACAATATGTTTCCTTCAACTATATATAGATGTCATAGAAATATAGCACTTGTTTCAGAAGAGCCATCCATGCAGCAATATGCTCCCTTCAACTATATATACAAGTCATAGAAACATATCAATTCTTTCAGAAGAGTCAATCCTCAGCACATGGTTTCATAAATTGTTTCACCCTAGTGAATTGGTTATGCGAGAGTTATTTTTTCAATAATTGAAAGAATGCCACATTGCTCAAAAGACATCACAAGGACCACGATTTTCAATGTCCAATGATAATGATGGCACTTATGATAATGCATTATGAAAAACTCCATTCTGTGCAAGCATAATCCACAACCATGCAGTGCATATTCTTAACTTTGCTCCTTACAGATTATTATTGCCTGCTCGAACCTAAGACCAATGTCAATGGTTTTGCTTCACTTTGGTCAAGAGGGCCAAATTAGTGGGATTCGCTTCACTGAGGTGAAGTGCAAAAAGATGAAATCCAGCTGAACCTTCAGCATCTCCAAAGCAAACTAACCACTCCAACAGCAAATCCATTAGTTCCTAGGACTTTTATATTTCCTATATAGGACTTTTATAATATTTTGCAGCCAACTTGACAGAAAACCCCAGTGTGTCTATCTAAACCCAATCTGATAGAGAGTTTATAAATGGGAAATAATTAATCATGGGAGAAGATTGCAACCTCATGTACTTTCTACCTAACTTCTATGTTAATAACTTCAACTATAACATAGAAGTTAGAAAAGAAAATCCATTGAGGATCTTCAGTAGTAGTTCTGGATTAAAATTTCTAAGAATAATGATCTCAGAATTGACCTTAGTTTTGCTACAGTCCTTATTACCATTACGTATAAGTAGGAAGAATTATAATGCTTTTCGTTTGATAATTGACTCATAATGCTTATTTTATCAGTGACAGCTCTTTATTAGCCTAAAGAGTTCTTAAAGTCAAACTCAAACCTAACATTAAAATCTGGTTTTACTTCAGGATGGAATATAAATTTGCAGGGTTAATCTTTTGTTTGAAAGTTTATGAATATAAATATACATCCCTTACTACTGAGCTAATGGTTTATCGGAGTTAGACAAACAGATTTAAATAATTAAGTGACAAAATGACATGTGAAGATTCCCATATTATAAAAAGAGAAGTCTTCCAAAACATGTTCTGATATCTAGGAATCCCAAGTCCCAATAGACAGCAGCTGTGAAAGTCTTGGCAGATCACTAGAGATCTTTCTTAATTCAAAACTCAAACTAATGACCACCACGAGAGAAATTACTAACCCCATACCAACAAAGAACCCAGTTACATCCACAACACCCTACAACCCAAGTTCCTATGCAGAAAAACTTCGCAGCCCCTTCCCTTAGTTCCAATGATTGGTCTGCTCACCGAGTGGTATGACTGAAGTTTCACCTACAGGAGTCCCAAGGATCCTAGACATTGCCTCTCCTGCAGATTACAAAATGTGTTCGACATGTTCAAGGTGACATCGAGCTGGGCCATTTCATCATGTGTTGCACCCTAATCTTCTTGACCCTGACTACTCATATGAGAAATTCTGAGTTTGTATCAAAGCTCAACCTCCATCACAAAATTCTGAAAATCCACTAACTGTCATCCTAAGAGTGAAACATGATGCCTTTATTGCAACCTATCCTCTCTATAAAAAGGTTATCCTCACCATTTGAAACCCCAAGCCTTCACCAGCTACCCAATTTCATCTGATACATAGCTAGCTCCAATCCCTTCACCTATGACCACCAAACTCAGCCTCAATTCTGAGACTACAACAAGCTTTCTAACTTTACTATGTAGAGTTGTGCACATAGCAATCAATGTTCAAGAGTCCTGATTCAAATGGTTTAACCTTTAATAGTTTCTTATTCATAGACACCATAAAGATGAAATAAAAAAATGATTTTAAAATAACAACCTGATTTATGAAAACTAGGATTTAATCTCTTTTCATTTAATGCATAAAATAAATAGGCAATTGTAAGCTATCGAGTGTAATAGACTGGTTCAACAAACAAAGGGGATTCAAAGGCAATCGCATGACGAAATTCTTTATATGTCAGCTAAATATATTTTGATCATGGTTCTAACTTAGAAATATACTCAAGATTCCAAAGAAATAAACAACAATGGAAAGGGATAAAAAATGACATTTAACTTAATTTTAAGAAAGGCCCTCCACAGAAATGCTACAAAGATCTAGTCTAGAGTAGAAGATAGGGACAATTTAATGACCCTTATATGACGTAAGAAAAGCCTATAAAACAATGGCAACAGGATGCAGTTAAGTATATACATTCAGGGCCCATTTGGGAGCACATCTTTCAACAGTAGAAATATTTGTATTTTATAACAATATATTTCAAACCTCCCTTGTGTCCAAAATGCCACTGAAGTATCATTACCGCTACAAGAAAAAAGAACCTGTTTTTCCTTTATCTCAGGAAAAAAGGGGAGGCATGTTCGTTTAAATATCACTGTTTTTCAGGTCATAGTCATAAAGGCAACCACATATTTTTCATGATCGCCCATAAAGGCAACTAAATATATCAACTTGGATGTGATTACCAGCATGACCGACAGGGACTCAATATGCAGACCAATGTCACCAGTGCCTAGTGTGACCTTCTGACTGAAGAGACTCCAGCAGTAGATGGTTATGAGAGTGTTGTAGAGTTGAGAATGATTTTAGCAAAAATTTGTGTATTAAAAACATAAAAAAATATATAATATAGTTTCCAGGTTGGGATTTTTGCCATTCAAATGCAATACCTGGGTAAAACACTAATTGGCACTAACTGAAAGTGAATGATTGACTCCCTCAACTACAGATTCTGGAGGAAGATCAAACCATGCCTCCCTGGAATAATCAGATAAAATACTTAAAAGTGACAAAACCATAGTTGCCGGAGCCTCTCACCCAAGGTTACGATTCCGATTAAGAATCCCGATTCTGCAATTTTGATATGGAATCTTTATGGAATCCTATTCCGTGAAGTCAGGAATCTCGATTCCTTATTTTAGGAATCTCAATTCCTTATTTTAGAAATTTCGATTCCAACACTTAAAGAATATTGTTTCTAATATTTATTCATTATCATTACCGCAATCGTAAAATCTCAATCATACATTTCTTGAATCTAGATCCCACATAAAATGATACTCTCTCCATCAAATTAGAAACACAAACATAGGCCATGAACTACAATAAAAACAATTTAGAACCTATGAGAAATGTCAGACCAAAAATTCAATTCCAAAGATATCAAGATCTCGATTCCATATATGAAGGAATATTGATTCCATATGGGTCGATTCCAAATGGATAGTGCTGAGAATGGGTCAGATCGGGTTCGGATATACATCAAATTTGGATTCAAATCCAGACCCGATCGGATCCAAAATATTCAAATCCGGATCTGAAAAGTATACATGGATTTGGATCCAGATCAGAACTCGATCGGATCCTAAAAAAAGTATTTTATATATTATTTATAGACATAAAATAATATATAACAAAAAAATACTATATAATATATATGTATCAATATAAAATAATATATAATATTTTAATAACTGGGTTGGATCCCGATCCAAATTTTGGATCCGAATAGTAATTAGAATTGGATCTGGGTACATTTGGATTCGATCCAGATCCGACCCGTCGGATCCAAATCTTGAATCCATACCCGAAGTTCGGGTTTCAGATCTAAACCAGGTAAATTCTCAGCCCTACATATAGGTCAAAAACTCGAGTCTAAAGAGGACGGAATCTTGATTCCATATATATAGAGATCTCGATGCCATTTGGGTCAAATCTCGATTCCTATAAATTTGGAATCTTATTTCCTACAATTCTTCTTGTACGGATGTCGATTTTGAGAACATAAATCTACTAGCCAGCCGCGATTCCGGTGCCTAAAACAATTCGGAATCTCGTGAGTTTCCAACAACTATGAACAAAACAATGTCCTCTAGTTTGAGCATGTATATACATACTTGACAAAATTTTGATTAAACTAATAAATGCTGCTTTTAATAATGGAACAATGGAAATAATATAGGATTAAGAAACAAAATTATGACAATAAATGAGGTTACCTGAGGAATTGTTATAGAAAAGAAGTAGGGATTGAATATGCATCCATCTTCAATTTTAGTCGTTTTCCCCATGAAATCTTTAGCATATTCCATTGAAATAAGTTGTGTGGAATATATTCTTCCTGAAACTTCAGCCTCTACACCCAGTATTGAACCCTGTAAATAAAATATAGTTTTTCATATTGGTTAAACCAAACTCTTGCGAATACTGCCCAAATGTTTGTAATTGAAGAATGTATATGACAAGGACAGATATTGGAGAAAGCAAAGGATAACAAAGGACTTGTAGTTGAAGCAACAATGAGTCAGATAGAAATCAAGTCCAGAGTGCCAACTCATTAATATATAGTGAATATAACCATACCTATAGCACAAAATACAAAATAACAAATAAATCCTAAATATACAGTGATAGATTCTAAACCATCAATCACAAAATTTCACCCATGAGCAGATTACTCGAATGATGGCTTTATTCATTTTATTCAACCTGCCATGAATTTTTAAGAGAAGTTTCAGAATCAATCAGCTCAAAATTTAACTCATGCGACTTCAAAAACAAGGTGGCGTTCACTCATTTTACTCAAATGATGGCTTTATTCATTTTATTTAAGCCGCCATGAATTTCTAACACAAGTTTCAGAATCAATCAACTCTAAAATGAGTTCAGATACTATCCACTGCTTCCTGAAGAGCTATGCTGTTAAAATTAAAAGGACATAGAATTTTTGTTAGTGACGAATGTTTTACAAATAACTAATCGCCCAAGCACAAACAAAGACCAATAATGTTGGAGTCCTAAAACAGCTCATATTCCCTACTGTATTGTGATGAAATAGGACATCACTTCATTGTCGAATTTGATTGACAGCTAAATTTGATGTGTAATGGAAACCAGGGAACCCAATGCATAATTGACAGATAAATGCATGCTAGAGAGAGAAATAGACAGATATCCATCAAACTCAATAGATGCCATAACTAAACATCATCTGCATTGTAGAGAGAGAGAGAAAGGGGTACCACTTCATGCAATGGAAGAGCAAGAAGGCAATCACATTTCCTGTCACACGAAACACAGTGAACCCTCCATGAACCCTTCAACTCAAAAATCGCAGAATTTACAACACAATTCACGTCGACCTCAATCCTATTCATATGAAGCGGGATCAAAGCAGGAGGATCCAAGGTCCCATAAACATGAGGCTGATAGCTGGGTATATCAGGGTTATCAACAATTGAAGGATCGGAAATCATGGAATAAACCATAGGCGACCTAGGAAATAAGTGCTTTGAGTCCTCCACCATTTTTGCTGGAAATGGAGCAGAACGACGTCCTGAAAGCTCATTCCGGCCATAATACAGGCGTTTTGAGAGCTTTAGCCCTGATTCTACTGACCTTCCAAACGCTTCTTCCATGACTGAAAAAATGGCGATGAGAGAAATTTGGCCGGTAGTTCGCCGGGTTTTGACCAAAAATGGCCGTAAATTAGGTTACAGTGAGGTAATGTGGGATATTTGATAGGAATATCGCCCGAAATCGGCCCAAAACGGCCAGTAATTAGGATTGAGAAGGGGGGATAGCCTCCGGAAAATGAAAACAGAGAGGAGTGGCCGGAAATTCATTTTTCCGGCCGTGAAGGGCCTGTGAATTTATACTGTGAATTTAAATGGTCCCTCCTTTAGAGAGTGCGGGACCGGGGAAAAAAACGCCTGTCTCTTTCTAGGCGAGGTTCTCGGCTGGGTCCACATAGCCAATTGAGTTTTCCAAGTGGGGAAATCACCGATATTTATCTCACGTGTAACGCATGGGGTTGGCGATTCTAAATCCCGGACTTCATCAAAAAGGAAAAAGTTTATATTGAGCCTCCGTTCTAAACAATCTAAATTTCACTACTAGAGGTTATTTTGATGCTCAAAAAATATCTTTAAATTGATCAAGATGTATAGATATCTAAAAAAAAATTTGAATTCGAGTTTTGAAAATAGTAATACATTTTTTTACTATCAATTTTTAAGATTTTTAAATTTTCATAGATATGCTCGGTCATCACTATTTTGTAAGCTTTTAATTTTATAATTAGAGAAAAAATATATTTTAAGGTTATCATAAAGATTTCCAATATTGAAACTACAATTCTCGACACTATTTTAAAGTGGGCTATATTTTGATTGTTTAGAGCCTCCACTCTATACAAAAGGTATTTACATAAAGAAAAAAATTTATATAAGATTGCAACTTTAAAATATAAGATGCACCTCAAAAATCAATTGGAAAAGGTTGGTTTAATGTTGATACCTTCTGATTGATTATCTCGACATCCAGACATATAAATAAATAATAAATAATATATATATATATATATATAGGTTTTTTCAGAGTTAACAACCCCTCAAAATACAAAAGTTGAAGTTAGAAAGAGTTGTGATGAGTATATTTATCAAAACAATCATTACTTTTTTATTAAAAAAATACTTAAATAAGTACCTTTACTATCGAGCAAAAGTAATTTTGAAATTTTTACAAAAATCCATTGGCATTTTGGAAGTTAGTGTCTTAAAATTTTATTTGTAGAGTGTCTTTGTCATTTAGTTAAACTTTCAATGTTACACTTTTTGGAGATGACGAAATTTGTCTTGTAATAATATTTACAAAATTGCTCCACAAAAGTAACTTTTTTTATAAAATAGCCCACAAAATTAATAAATCCACCATTCACATCTCTCTTTATCTTGAACTTTTGTAATTTGAAGGATTGTAAAGTATAGATTATCTATATATATATATATTGAGTAATGATCCTGTGAGACACTGTCATACCCATGTGTGTAGGACCCCAAATGATCACCATTAAATTTAGCATAGATATCTAGAAAATTTATCATATGGGTGTTGAACTTGACTTTTCTAGAGATATGTGTCAAATTTAATGGTGATCCTTTGGGATCATACACACATAGGTGTGAGAAGGTCACACAAGGTCATTTCCCTATATATATATATATATATATATAAGAATTTGATATCCCATAAATAATGCATCTTGCAACACGTTATCTAGACCGTCTATTTTTAAGATTTTCAAACGTTCACATATCTACTTGATTTTAATCATTTTTAGAGTTTAAAATTTTATAATTAGATATTAAAATAGATTTGTAGATAATCCTAAGAATTTTTACACAAAAATTACATGTTATAATAAATTTTAGAGGTGCGCCTTAATTGGATTGTTTGAGGTTGCAACCTTATAGAAACGACACCCTTACGTAAATGAGTGGAAATGTAGTTGAGTTTGATGTCAAAACTCAAAATGCCCATGAATTTTTCATTTCGCGAGATCGATGCTTCTAAACCCTTCGTTAATCGGACGGAAGAGGAGTTGGTGGCATATTGTTTTGATGCCCAGATGCTAGCTAGTATTGTGTAAAGAAATGCAAACAATAAGATCATTTATTTTTGTTTCAAGGAGGTCATTCACTTGGCCGTTAGATTTAAAATCAAGTGGCTAAACATATTCTATTGACCAAGCTCAAAATTCAAAAGTGGTTTTCTCGAACTTTATGAAATATCTCAAGCTATCAGATTGGACATCCTATGGCTAGATGTGATTATAACCTCCTTATTCCAAGATAAATGGTCTCATAATATTTAGCTCCAATATATTAAAGATGTGGTTTGTATAAGGTTTCAACCTTAAACAATCAAAGTAAAGTGCACCTCAAAACTCTATCATAAGATGCAATTTTGGTACGGAAAAGGGTATTTATTAGAAAATATTTGTTAGCTTGGAAAAATAATCAAGACTACTTGGAACTGTAGAATCCTTAACATACAAGTTCACTTTGGAAAGCTGAGAGCATTTTGGTTGCTTAATTTGTGAGGTTTGGCTGTTAATTTTTAATTAGGAGTGTCAATATACACATGATTGCCTTTTGAGGGAAAAGAAAACAAAACAAAATCACAGAGGAACCTGTATCGTGTACTCCTATGGAGCACATTGTACATTACTCCCTCGAGCAAAAAAGTAACTTGTGAGGGTCTTTATCTCTAAGATCAATTTATAAAACAAATGAATATTTGTAAAAATAATAATAATAATTTAGAGTTCCGATTTGACTATCCTATAATTGGATGGTCTCCATTAATATTGGAATTTTTTTTTATGCACATATAGTACATATTATCATGAAAATTTTCTCAAACTTTGTGATATACCCAAACTATCAGATTTCTCATCGGATGGCTGTAAATAATTATGACCTCCTTGTATTAAAGGTAAATTTTCTGATTGTATATAATCCCTATTATCATAGGTTGGATTTTATTTCTTTGAGGCTGGTCACTAGTTTAATGAAGTTACATCTCCATGATTGTCCTAAATTTGCTCAGGGATTTACCCTAGGGAGTAAACAGAACAATATACTCCCTTGGGAGCATTATTATCTTTTGGCGAAACAAAAAGAGGCGTTTCAATTCTATGCAAGAAGGTAATGCTTTGTGACTTAAAAAAAGGATCCATTTGGGTCACATTTTTGCAAAGGACTCCAAATATACCTTAGTAAATTAAAGGATGGGAGGCGAATCTTTTAATTGTGTGGATTACGAATAAAACCTATGGATTAAGCATCAAGTAAGAGATTACATTACATAATAATATATTGTAAGATTCTTAACTCTTGATGCAAAAAAGTGACAATCACTATTAATTATCAGAAATAAAATTTAAAAGCTCCCTCGTTACAACGTATTGTACACTATGCCCCTGCAGGAGCAACCAATAAAGCAAAACCATGACTGTTAATCTCTCTCACATGGGTCCCGAGCCAAGTTGAGTCAAATAATAATGCTCATAAAAAATTAATGAGAATAATTACTAATGATTATTACAAAATTTAATTTGTGGAGAACATGTGCCGACACATGCTAATCAACTTTTCCTTTTCAAAAAAACGCTCCCACTAACAAAATAGTTTAACATTTGTAGGGTCCTACAACCTTTAGAGGAAACCAATCAAATAAACAATGCTTTAAAAAAAAAAAACAATCTAATAAACTAATCTACTAATTGTCTATGTTTATACTAATTGTCTATGTTTATATTAGTGTTTGTCAAATTGCCTCGCGTTAGCCGAAACCTTCAGATTTTAGGCCTAGACTGAAGTAAAACAAAGCTTGTTGATGTTGTTTTTAGGCCTACACTGAAATAAAATGAAGCTTGTTGATGTTGTTTTGGTCTGATTCAGGGCGCTTCGAGCAGATTTGAATCTACTTTATTTTTCTCATCAAACTGAATAAAACTTAGAAGCGAATATGACAACATTAGTTTATATATAATTGTGTAAATCTTTCAAATTCCACCAATTGGATTGATAAGCTTAGAATGCTTGTCTAACAAAAAATAGTCTATCCATGTGGGACGAAACATAGACAATAGAGGTATATACGATTCATTAAGTAAATACATATCTTTAAGATTTTTTTAATGCAAGAATATACGTGGCTAAATGTGAACCGTTTCATAAGACAATTATTATTTAGTTGAACTATTGCATACACTATTCGTTTACTTCTTTTTTTTAAGGAAAATAAAGGTATGGTGAACAACTTTCTTCTTATGTTGAATAAAGATTTATAGAAAAGATGGATTTCAAGTTCTAAAAAATTATTCATCTTATAACATTTTTTATAATTCATCTATTTTAAGTCTTCATAAATATGACAAGATCTGCATCATTTTTAACGTTTCAAATGGCACAATTGGGAGCAAATTAGATTTTCAAGCCATTACGCTATTTTTCTCCTCCAGGATTGGTCTCTCGGGTGGGACTACAGCCTGTCTCACATAAACCCATGCCCAAAGAGAAAAGCTTGCTCTTATTCAAATTATTTGGGAAAAGTATACAAAGAAACTGTTTATTCTTAGTATAAGGAGATCATAATCTATCTTATCTTTCATATTTCAAATCGGGTGGTTGTGAGCGTGTTGTTTGACTAAACTCAAAGTCCCAAAAATAAAATTTTGAACTTCATAGCATACCCCAAGCATTCATTTAACATCTATATAACCGATAAATAGTCTAATAGCATACAATCCCAATTATTTTACATGGTGAAAAAGTTTCTCGGCACAAATAAGAGAGCACCATCTTCAATATTAGCAAATGGGTGCGCTTGTACAAGGTTGCAACCTAAAACAATCAAATTAAGACGCACCTCCAAATTTATCATAAATATAATTTTGGTGTAAATTTTTTTTAGGATGACTTGATAATACATTTTAATCTCTAATTATAAAATCTTAAACTCCAAAAATGGTTCAAATCAAGTAGATCTATAAACACTTGAAAATCTTGAAAATGGACGGTCCAAATAATGTATTGCAAGATACACCCCACAAAAACAAATCCAAAAGGGATTTGTTTGATCCCAAATTTTGTGGTGGCCTTAAAAACATCAAATAAACACTTTCACAAGAAATAAAAGGGTTTTGAGGACATCTGACCTTACATTTAACAGTATAACAAAATGGGTAGTTAGCGTCAATCCATTTTTCTCTCTCCTCATCAATTGTTTAGGGTATTTTTTCTTTTAGATTTTTCTTAATTGCAAATGTTCAAAGTCAAGAGGAAGTGTGTGTGAAAAATGGGGTTAAACAAATACTCCGAACATCATTTCTTTAAGGAGGGAGAGTTGAACTTCTACAGAATTAGCCTAGGGGCATATGCAATCTTTTTC